GTTACTTTTTTTTTTCAATTGAATAAACCAGAACAAATCGCATTTAAAAAAAAAATAATTTTATCATTAAACACTTTTCTCTGTATCGTCCATATTAAACTCTTTCTTCTTCGTCTTTTTACTTAGGGGTCATCCATTTATGACGTCCACAAACATTTTATTATAAATTTGGCCGTATGAGGTAAGCGCTTCCCTTAATTCTAAATGTTTCTGTCAATACCAAACATAAACTGCAAAATATTAAACATTTGATTTTAAAATTAATAGTATTTTTTTGCCTTATATTATTAATAGATTTTTTTAATTGAAGATGCTGTAGACCTAACATTTCAATGTCATTTGTGGCTGTCTTGCTATTAATAACTTTATGGGTTAGGGTAAATTCCGCTAATTAACGTGACGTCACTATATTATTTTTACTCAAGTTGATGCTACACGTGTTTCTCGTGGTCTCGCTGACCGTTAGCCCTACACACCTGACCAAGCGAGCACATTATACACGCGCTGACCGTTAGCCCTACACACCTGACCGTTAGCCCTACACACCTGACCGTTAGCCCTACACACCTGACCGTTAGCCCTACACACCTGACCAAGCGAGCACATTATACACGCGCTGACCGTTAGCCCTACACACCTGACCGTTAGCCCTACACACCTGACCGTTAGCCCTACACACCTGACCAAGCGAGCACATTATACACGCGCTGACCGTTAGCCCTACACACCTGACCGTTAGCCCTACACACCTGACCGTTAGCCCTACACACCTGACCGTTAGCCCTACACACCTGACCGTTAGCTCTACACACCTGACCAAGGGAGCATATTATACACACACTGTTATTTAAATATCGAATTGTAACGTGGTTATTTTGAGTTTTTTACTGGAACAAAAAAAAATCTAGATATGCGTCGTCTTCAGGGGCGGAACTACAGTGCCGCCAGACCCCGCAATGCGGGGGGGGCACGCCATTTAGGGGCCCAAAGCCGCCCATAATAATTATTTTTATAGTTAAAAAAAATAATTTTCTTGCATTTTTGACTTGATGGTTGTTTTTTATAAAGAATACTGTAGCTGCAGTTGGTTTATCTTTATTCTATAGACACCACCCCACGCTCTTGTATATTATTTTTCCCTTTGTTTTTAAACCCTAGTGAAAGCCGAGTCATCTTTCTTCTACAATCAAACTTATCAAAGATAAGCAAACTTTGAAACCACTTCCATGACTTATTTCCCTTTTAAAAAAAAAATCAAACAGGGGTGCTCATAAGCTCCATTTAATAGATTTGTACTAAACAAAATAAAAAGCAATTACCTCTTTTAATTATTTTTTTATAAAGTACTTACTAAACTTACTAAAGAATGACACTGTATGAAAAGAAAATGTATTTAAAATTAATAATTTAAATAAAAAAAATAAAATAAAAAAATAAACATAATACGAGACACCATTACTAATTCAAAGCTTTCATATTTTATAATCTTTTGATTGAGAGGTGGGCAGAGGTAGTATACTAGAAATAAGATAAAACTGATTTTCACAAAATACAATAAAGCACTTAGATCTACACACATATTTTGACACGATGTTGTAATTTGTTTTAATTAAAAAAAAACTTTTTTTTTCCCAACTAGAACAGGCCAGAAATGTGTATCATATGTTCGTATTTTGTGTTTATATATATATATATATATATATATATATATATATATATATATATATATATATATATATATATATATATATATATATATATATATATATATATATATATATATATATATATATATATATATATATATATATATATATATATATATATATATATATATATATATATGGGGGGCCCTAAAAGTTTTTTTGCGGGGTGGCCTTTTTTTTCTAGTTCCGCCACTGGTCGTCTTAGGCTTTGACACAAAAAAATGATTTAGACTATAATCTAGTTACAATATCGGAGTCTAGAACTAACTGTTTTTTTAAAATATGATTAAATTGTTTGAAACGTTTTTTAAAAGTTGAAATACAGATTGGCATATGGGAGGTAATTCTCTGCTTGTACTATTTTTATTTATGTTCAGTATGGCCAGACGAGTCCAATAAACAATGTCTAGTGACAGGTGCGTAGCGAGGGGGGGGGGGCGGGGGTGCGGACCGCACCGGGTGATACCATTTAGGTTTTATGACACCAAGGCAAAAAATAGCAAATTATATAGAGAAAAACTTGAGGGGAGGGGGGGGGGTGCAAAACGAAAATTTGAAAGTTTGTCCCCGGGAAGGGTCGCTACGCCTCTGGGGGGTGACACCATTAAGTGCCGCACCGGGTGACACCCGACCTCGCTACGCCACTGTCTAGTGATGTACTGGTCGCTAGTCTCTCTCTACTTCAAACTAATCCTCACAACACCACAACACCACGTGTTGGTTCAAGTAGATTAGCTGAGTCTTAATTTTAACGAATTGACACAAAAAAATATTTAACATGCGACAGGTTTTCAAAGATAGTTTCAGTCTTGTGTCCAACAACCAACTTGAATATACACGTGGGCGGCCGCTAAATGTGATTCGGCGGAAACTTGGCGGCGGTGAGTGAATCGCAGCTAGGCAAGGGTCGGATGTGATTGGTCAGTTTCATCACGCTCTGAGCTTATGTAGTCTGAGCTTATGTAGTCTGAACTTATGTAGTCTGAACTTATGTAGTCTGAGCTTATGTAGTCTGAGCTTATGTAGTCTGAACTTATGTAGTCTGAACTTATGTAGTCTGAGCTTATGCAGTCTGAGCTTATGTAGTCTGAGCTTATGTAGTCTGAACTTATGTAGTCTGAACTTATGTAGTCTGAGCTTATGTAGTCTGAGCTTATGTAGTCTGAACTTATGTAGTCTGAACTTATGTAGTCTGAGCTTATGTAGTCTGAACTTATGTAGTCTGAGCTTATGTAGTCTGAGCTTATGTAGTCTCAGCTTATGCAGTCTGAGCTTATGTAGTTTGTGCCTTTATGTCTGTTCAAGACTCGCTGATGTCTACCAAACAGGAAGTCTATCGGCTAAGATCGAATGACGTGGACTAGACAAAAAGACTAGACAATTTGTCTGCCTGTACGTTTATCTCAGTGACGTGGACTAGACAAAAATATTCACAAACGTTCGTTGAAGATTTCGATCGGTGAAAGTAAAACGAAAATCGTTGAGACAAATGATTCTTTTTGAAAATTACAAAAAGTAGGCCTACATGTAACAGCATAAACATATCGATCAAGTTGGAAGAAGAAAAAGACTAACATAAGATAGATCATAGAACTAATTAGTCTGGATATTTTCTAAATTGGTTGGTTTGCAAATATCTTTCAACCGTTGGATCTTACGACAAATCAGCCTCTGCGACGTTACAAGTCATTTGAAATCGTTTATCAGTTTAAAGTTATCCTGGTAATAAAGATTGAATACACCCCCGGGGTACAGCCCCACCCCATCCCCAGCCCTTGTCTATTGCTAGTTTACTTTTATTTCGGTGATCTACAGGCAAATAACGATCAGAGAAAAAATACAGTTTCCAACTAATTTACTTTTTACAGGTAACTTTCTTTGTGCAGTTGTGTGTGTGTGTGTCTGTGAGATTAGGTGTATGAGTGTGTGTTTCTCGGAGGGAGTGTATGTGTTTAATGTCAATGAAATGTTTACATAAAGGAACAGTTTCATCCTACTACTTTATGCTTGGCAAATACAAACTTTAAATTATAAGTTAGCAAGCTAAGTTAGTCTGTATCTCTGATCACTTTGTCTTATCTGATTCTCTGATGTTGGGGTCAAAATTGGCTATCATATTATCGACCATAAATACGACAAAATTTACTTCCTCGTTAAGCTTTCAGCTACCATACTAGTAGTCTGTGTGTCGAGATATTTGACAGTTGTTAATACATTCCTTTTTTACTTTCTCGTATATACGAAGTATAGAGAAAGTCTTGTAGGCCTAATCGTGCAAAAAAAAAAATCGAGATTTTTACAAATCTCGACGTTTTACACCTCACTGATACGGAAAAACATAATTTTGCAATCTTGTCCGCATGTATGTCTGTGTGTCTGTGTGTCTGTCTGTCTGTCTGTCTGTCTGTGTGTGTGTCTGTGTGTAAACACAATAACTTGAGTACCGTTACAGCTAGGTTGATGAAATTTCATATATAAGTATTTTATCAAAATCGTAGATCCGTATCAACTTTTTAGCGATTTTCGATAACCGGAAGTGGTAATTTTTCTACTTTGAATTTTTCAAAAGCCTATAACTTGAGTACTATTTCAGATAGATAAATGAAATTTCACATGTAAGTAATAGATCTAATTCTCTACCTACCTTCTGTTAAATTTTGAGTAATTTTCGTTGACAGGAAGTACTAATTTACGCTATTTCCGATTTCTCAAAAAACGCAAGTAAATTTATAAAGTACTAATAATATTGCGCACTATTATGCACATTTTGTTTCTGCGTTTGTTTGGTGCGCAATGTTTTTTTCTATGAGATTCTATTCTATTTTTAAAAGTTTAAGTAATTAAAAATCATGTCTACATTCCAAGTTATATAAGAATATTCGAGAAAGTTTAGGGGAGATCACTCCCGGTTTATTTTATAAGAATTACAAGTATCTTTTTCTCTAAAAATAAATTATTAATACGTCACAGAGAACCCACATTTTTCACTTTCAAGTTTTAGTTTTTATAAAATAGCGAATTTAAAAAAAAAAAAAACTAGACTATTTTTAACACTGTATTTCTTAATATATCGATTATTGACCTGTACAATGATGCACAAGCAGAATCTTTTTTTTTCTTCTACCATGAACTAACAGAAGTAAATCTCTGTTAAATTTGTATATTTTGTTAATAAAAGAATCTCTCTACAGGTGGTCAGAGATTACTCGAGACAGCAAAGTCAAGAATTAAAACCAAACCTTTCAACAGACGTTAATTAAAATAATTTGGTCACCCGCTATAAATAGGATCAACATGGCGGCCACTAAACTCACTGACCTAATTAGCGACGAGACACGGAGCCTCTGTGACGTCATTTTTGGTGTCGTCATCCACGGTTTCCTGGGACTGTTTGGGTCAGTGGCTAACATCATCAACATCATGGTGTTTGTTAAACAGGTCAGTATGTGACGTCATCAACATCATGGTGTTTGTTAAACAGGTCAGAATGTGACGTCATCAACATCATGGTGTTTGTTAAACAGGTCAGTATGTGACGTCATCAACATCATGGTGTTTGTAAAACAGGTCAGTTGAGAAGTGAGCTTCCGTATATATATATATATATATATATATATATATATATATATATATATATATATATATATATATATATATATATATATATATATATATATATATATATATATATATATACATATATATATATATATATATATATATATATATATATATATATATATATATATATATATAAAGTTCACTTCTGTGGCGGGCGGGCGGGCAAACCGAGGATTCCAAAGTCTAAAGTGCTCATCGTCTAATTTCATGATTTAAAAAAAACTTATATTTAAGGTGTTGTAAAACAATTTTTATTTTTCACTTTAAGTGAATCAATTCGGCGCTTCCTCCGGCGCCCCGACAAGGTGATATTTGGCGCCCCAGGCCTACCCGTGCTCGTTTAAATGAGTGCAAAAGACTATGAATAAATTAGGGTACTATAGTCGTTTACTAAGCTGAAACAGCATGGTGCGATTTGACGCCCTGAGCTAGACTGTGAGCACTTTGCGTTTATGCTTGCGTTTGTGTTTTCTTTGTGTTTGGGTTGGGTGTGCGTTTGTGGTTGGGTTTGCGTTTGGATTTGGTTTGTTTTCGTTTGATTTTTTGTTTGCGTTTGTGTTGGTGTTTTCTTTGTGTTTGCGTTTGCGTTTGTGGTTGGGTTTGTGTTTGCGTTTGTGTTTGTATTTGTGTTTGCGTTTGTTTTATGTTTGCGTTTTTTGTATGTTTTGTTTTTTTCTGGTTTCAGTTAGGGTGGGCAAAGCCGTATATATGCTGATTACTAAACACATGTCAAGGTCCTTTACAGATAGGTTTTTCAGAGGCCAGTGAATGGCCTAATATATATATATATATATATATATATATATATATATATATATATATATATATATATATATATATATATATATATATATATATATGTGTGTGTGTGTATGTATATACAGATATTTTTTTATTTGTTTAAGTTTCTATGTATCACTTCTCCCCAGGGACTGACGGAAACAGTGACCATCAGTTTCCTGGCACTGAGTGTGGCTGACTTGTGTAACCTGCTTCCTCTGGTCTGGTCTAGCGTGTGTTCGAATCCTTTGTTTGAGCTGAAAAAACAAACAGAAAACACGGCGTTTGTCTTTATGAGCTCAGGTATTCCATTAGCTCTGATGAGCTCAGGTATTCCATTAGCTCTGATGAGCTCAGGTATTCCAGCCTTTCCCTCAGAATGTAAACTTGCATGTACGTCTTAAGGTTTGCCTTGAGATGATTCAATCAAGGGGAGACCGATGTGACCAAGAAATGTCATTGAGAAAAGTTTCTTCCAAAAAATATTAGCCATCAAAATACGTTGTCGAACTTAACGTTACACCTATGATATCATGCTTTTAGGGATCACCCGTATGTGACGTCCACAAACAAAATGCAATGTTAGACGTCTCGTTTACCGAGATTATATGACTTGCGATACACGACATAGCAATCATCACAACAAGAGCACTGCCTTTAAATGTTTTCCTTTCATACAGGTTCAAAGTTTCGCGTCTGAATGTGTAAACTTTTTACATAACGCATCGACTTTTACGAGAACCAGACCACGCCCCCCCCCCCCCCACACACACACCCTCGTTTCCATAAAACTGAACTTATTCAGACCCCCCGTCCTCCTTGCAAAGATGTGGACATCCTATATGTATGAGCGCTTAACACTCTGAAACTATGCCATGAAGAAGTTCAAAAATTCAAACACAATTTATTTTCAGGTTTACCCCATACCATGTTCCTCAGATGTTCCTTTTGGATTCGTGTCTACATCAACTTTGAGCGATGCTGCTGTATCGTGTTCCCAATCAAAGTGAAGATGTTTTTCACCAAGACGAAGACGGTTGTTGTTGTCGCCTGTGTTTACCTCCTCATGTTGGCGTTCCTGGTCCAAGGCGCCGCTTGCCTACAGTTCAGGCCAACCTACAGCCCGATCAAAAACCTGACGGTGTTTTACGTCACGATCATTACATCTGCCGCGTGCAACATCGAGCTGAGTAACCTTATCAACGTCACGGCACGGGTCGTGCTCTTTATCCTCGATGTTATCTTCACACTTATCATGATACAAAGGCTACAGATGAAATCAAAATGGCGCAGCAATTCGTCTGCCGGAAACACCAAAAGTGTGCCCAGTCTCCGCGACTACAGACTAATCAAAATGTTGGTGTTTATCTCATGTATGTACATCTCTAGCTCTATTCCCGCCATCGGCTACACCGTCTGTCTGTCTTACATTGATACACTCTCAGGTGTCAACATCAATTTTTACTCCCTGATTTGGTCGGTTGCTGTATCTCTAGAGGCGTGTGGTAGCTCCTTCAACATCTTCATCTTTTACACAATGAGTGTCCGATACAAGAGGAGTTTTCTTGATCTGTTCGCGAGGAAGTTTGGACCAGTAAAAACAGATGCGTGTCGTAATGGGGACTTTAAATAGTTGAAACTTTGACTTCATTGTATTCGTGCTTTTAATCCGAATATTATATTTTATTTAGTTAATACACTAATCAGCTTTAATGATTTAGAGATTTTAAAATAAATGTTTTAAATTCTGAAAATATGTAGGCCACGATCATAGTTCAAGCAGACTTTGAATTAATTTTAATCAGCCTCGATTGGCATTGATTGCATACACCAACCTGTTACGTAAGCGTCGACATAATTCTTTAGAAGATTTTTTTCAAACCAATTTAAATATCTATTTTAGTTTTGTTTATCAGATTCTTAACAAACCAATTTAAATATCCATTTTAAATTAGTTTATCAGATTCTATTAAAAATCATTATAAATATATATTTTAGTTTTTGTTTTTCATATTATTTCAAACCAATTTGATTATCTACTTCTGTTTTCTGAAAATTTGTTCGACTAATGTCATACAAGTCAATCAAACATCTAATTACAAGAGCTACAATTTGTTTAAAAAACTGCTACTATAGCTTACAAATTGTAAGTAGTGTGTTGTACCTGTATACAGAAATGGTGTCTGCAGAGGTTTCAGTTAAAACTTTTGTTCAGAATCTATTCAACACAGAATCTATTCAATACATAATCTATTCAACACAGAATCTATTCAATACAGAATCTATTCAATACAGAATCTCTTCTATACAGAATCTACTCCATACATAATCTATTCAATACAGAATCTATTCAATACAGAATCTCTTCTATACAGAATCTATTCCATACAGAATCTATTCAATACAGAATCTGTTCAATACAGAATCTATTCAATACAGAATCTGTTCAATGCAGAATATATTCAATACAGAATCTATTCAATACTGAATCTCTTCAATACAGAATCTATTCAATACAGAATATATTCAATAAAGAATCTATTCAATACAGAATATATTCAATACAGAATCTACTCAATACAGAATCTATTCAATACAGAATCTACTCCATACAGAATCTACTCCATACAGAATCTTTTCCATACAGAATCTATTCCTTACAGAATCTATTCAATACAGAATCTATTCAATACAGAATCTATTCAATACAGAATCTATTCCTTACAGAATCTATTCAATACAGAATCTATTCCATACATAATCTACTCCATATATAATCGGTTCCATACAGAATCTAATTCATTTGAAATGTATTCCATTCAGAATCTACATCATAAAGAATGTACGGTGAACGGAAAAAGTCACAGGAAAAAAACAACAGATAAAATGTCACAGATTTTGCTAGGAAAAAGTCACAAAAAAGTCATAAAGCAAAATATTTATCGGTAAAAGTCACAGAAATAAAGTCACAGAAAAATGACAGAAAAAAAAGTTGCTATGAAATATTTTCATTTAATTGTTGTAACTGTAAAATTGTGGATGTTTATTGTTGTAAACAGTGCATTTTGGTAGCATATTTATAAAATTTATAAGCATTATATACTTAACAAGTAAAAATACTTTAAGATAATTTACATAGCACCCTCAACGTGTGTTAATTATTTAGTTAAATACCTGGTAGAAAAATTAATTATAAAAGAAAATTAGGCCCATCCTTGTGTTTCGCAATCCTACCATGTCAGGTGGACGAAACTAGATCAAAGGGAATGAAACAGTAGCGGAACTAGAAAAAAAGGGCCGTCCGCAAAAAAAGCCCCCCCCCCCCCCCCTCCACAAACAACAATTATGAACATATGATACTTGTTCCTGGTCTGATCGGGGTTTGAAAAAATAATGCCTTTTTTTGTCAATTAAAACAAATTACAACAACATCTCATGTGTGTGAGTGCATTAGTCTGTTTTGAAAAACTGTTTTATTTCATGTCGGCTGTAAAATTTCTTAATCTCGAGGAGGTCAAAAGAATTTGAATCTACTCCAAACAGAATCTACCCCATACAGAATCAAAATGACTTTTGATGGTTGTTTTAAGGTGATTCTAACTACGTGGTGAAATCCATTTTAGCAATTTGTTGATTTTTAACCTCAGCTAACTGATAAAACGGTCATCAAAGCAAAGATCAAATAAATAGATTAAATATTTTTTGCTACGAAACCAAGTTTGTTTTAGTAAAAATGATGGAATAGGTTATTCCTACAAACAAATATTTAGGACTTCTTGAAACATTTATTGTACCATTATCAGCATCAAAATATTTTCTTATATTTCGTATTTGACCTGTTGATGTATGTTTTCAAAATGTACAGCTTATTTCTATATTCTAACACTCTAAACAAAATGTAAAGATAGTTGTTTAATTTTAATTTTTGAGAACATAATGCTGTCTTTAGATAGAGACTGTATGTCAAGGACAGTTTTTTACTTTCTCGTATACGAAGTATAGAGAAAGTATTGTACTCGTGCTAAAAAAGAATCGACGTTTTACACCTCCCTGAGTCAGAAAAATATAATTTTTGCAATCTTGTCCGTTTGTCAAGTGTGTGTATATGTAAACACGATAATTTGAGTATCGTTATAGCTAGGTTGATGAAATTTCATATATAGTAGTATATCAAATTTGTAGTTACGTATCTGCTTTTCGCCGATTTCTGATAATTGGAAGTGGAACTTATTCTACTATAAATTTTTCAAAAGCCTATAACTTGAGTACTGTTTCAGATAGATAAATGAAATTTCACAAGTAAGTACAATATCTAATTCTCCGCTTACTGTCAAATTTTAAATTATATCCGTTAGACCGGAAGTAGTAATTTACGCTATTTCTGATTTCACAAAAAACACTCGTGAACCTATAAAGTGCTGATAATATTCCGCACTATTATACACAGATTGTTTGGCGTTCATTTGGTGCGCTATTCTTTTTTCTACGATATTATATTCTATTTTTACAAGCTTTTATTTAACTCACTTCCTCTGTCGTCATTCGTCAGTCGACAGTCTGTCGTCAGTCCAGATCGAAACGCAGGAGTGAAAATTCGGACACTTCTGCTTGACCGATACGATTCACATTTGGCACGTGGGTCAATAAATGAAGACAATGCAATCTGAAACTAAATTTGACTTAATTGGATGCCTAATTAATTTTTTATGAATTAATTAAAATTTGGCCCGAATTAGTAGGCATGCTTATCCGACCACACCACACGCATCATCACGTTCAATAGCTGCGCCATCACGTTCAATGGCTGCGACATCACGTTCAGTAGGCGCGCAATGATTTTTAGTCATGTAACTCTATCTAAATATATAATTCTCTTCTGGGAGCCATTAGAAAACAAGCTGCAAACGCACCTTGCAATCCCCTCTCTTCCTCTCTATCGCTACCAACCCCCCCCCCCCCCCCCCCCCCCCGTCCTCACATTGTCTGGTGAGCTGTGGTTCACGCTGTTTACATTTTACAATCATAGAGTCGGGTTTGGTGACGGCTATTAGGGGCAGATAATTTAGTTTGAAACGATTTTAAACTTAGAGGAGGTAACTAAGGAGAGGCTGCTATCACGGGGGGGGGGGGGGAGGGTTTTTTAGTGTTTTAAAGCAAATATTTTCAGTGTCAGCGTTGGTACTGTCGAATTCACAAATTATAAATTACTGAAAAGTAGAAAATAAAAAAACTAAATACGCTGCGGGTCGGCTCGTTGTAAATAAAACATGTAAAGTACTGAAAAAAAATTCATAAAAAAACGTTTTCATAACAAGCTTTTATGTAATAGTGCACTAAAAAGTAGAAAATAAATTATAGACTACTTTTAAATAACTAGAAAGAAAAGCGTGGGTGTCTTCCTTAACATTAGTAAAGGTATCCAATAGATACTAAAGTGACCCACGCTTTTCTTTCTAGTTATTTAAATAGTAGTCTATAATTTATTTTCTACTTTTTAGTGCACTATTACATAAAAGCTTGTTATTAAAACGTTTTTTTATGAATTTTTTTACAAGCTTTTATTTAACTCACTTCCTCGTCAGTCTGTCTGTCGTCAGTCTAGATCGAAACGCAGGAGCGAAAATTCGGACTGTTCTACTTGACCGATAGGATTCACAGTTGGCACGTGGACATGAACAAGCTTTTATGTAATAATGCACTAAAAAGTAGAAAATAAATTATAGACTACTATTTAAATAACTATAAAGAAAAGCGTGGGTCACTTTAGTATCTATTGGATACCTTTACTAATGTTAAGGAAGACACCCGCGCTTTTCTTTATATAACTTTTTTTTTTTAAAATAACTATAAAGAAAAGCTTGGGTCTCTTCCTAAATATTAGTAAAGGTATCCAATAGATACTAAAGTGAACCACGCTTTTCTTTATAGTTATTTAAATAGTAGTCTATAATTTATTTTCTACTTTTTAGTGCATTGGTACATAAAAGCTTGTTATTAAAACGTTTTTTATGAAAATAAATTTACAAGCAATTATTTAACTCACTTCCTCTGTCTGTCGTCAGTCTGTCGTAAGTCTAGACCGAAACGCTTTATCAGACACGCGTCATCACCTTCAATAGGGCTGCATCACGTTCAATAGGTGCGCAATGGTTTTTAGTTATGTAGCTATTTTATATAAAACATGTAAAGTTCTTTAAAAAATTCATAAAAAACGTTTTAACAACAATCTTTTATGTAATAATGCACTAAAAAGTAGAAAATAAATTATACACTTCTATTAAAATAACTATAAAGAAGAGCGTGGGTATCTTCCTAAATATTAGTAAAGGTATCCAATAGACACTAAAGTGACCCACGCTTTTCCTTATAGTTATTTAAATAGTAGTGTATAGTTATTTAAATAGTAGTGTATAATTTATTTTCTACTTTTTCGTACATTATTACATAAAAGCTTGTTATTGAAACGTTTTTTATGAATTTTTTTTTTAAAAAGTTTAAGTTATTAAAAATGGATTAAAAATCATGTCTATATCCCAAGTTGCCATCCCCCGAAGTGTTATCTATATATATAATTCTCCTCTTCGAGCCGTTAGAAAACAAGCTGCAAACGCTCTCCCTACCTCCCCACCCCTACATGGTTTTAGTGAGCTGTGTTCACTCTAAATGTTTACAAGCAGAGCCAACGATTTTAAACGTAGGGGGGGGGGGGAGGGGGGGGGGGGGGGGAAAGGAAGGGGGGGGGGGGGTTATGGTCCTTAACGAGCTACTTATAGTGTTTTAAAGAAATATTTTCAGTGTCAGCGTTGGTACTGTCGAATTCACAAATTATGAATTATTGAAAATTAGAAACAACTAAATAGCGGCGTATGTTATGCCGCGGGCCGGCTCGTATAAGAATATTCGAGAAAGTTTAGGGGAGATCACCCCCGGTTTATTTCTCTGAGCGACTGAATGATCAAGTTGACCGACCAACTATCGGATGATTAACTTGACGGACACAACAAATGGGACGAACGAAGTGGTTGGCGGAATGGCGCTTCTGATGAAGTTTAGAAGTGAACTATCTGTGTTGTATTTAAATCTCTGGTATAAGTCATCTAGTTGTGTTGTATTAAAATCTCGTTTAGGGCTATAAGTCATACAAAAAGTCATCTGTTCCATCAACATGCTAATCACGGATGAAAGCAGTAAAGTTTACTTCAGCAAGGCCATTACTTTATTTACAGATGATACAACTAGGCTAGACCAGAGCGTCAATGATGAATTATGACGACATTAAACTATTGACCTAACTAATTTAATTTCCTTAACCGATTATCTTTCTTTTATTGTCCTATAAAATAAAACATAATGGAACTGCGCCTATTATATTCTACCCGATGTACGAAGTTAAAAACATTGTATTAAAAAAATAAAAAATGATTTAGAGATTTAGATTGTAGTCTTGTACACAATGAATCTGATTTATGCCGCAGACTGTGAGATTGTTCTAATGTCGCTCACAAACATCACATTAAATGGCCGGTGTTCTAGAACAATCTTTCCATTTTCCAGTCTAGCTCCATAATGTCAATGGGGTGGTGTGGTGGGGGGGGGGGGAAGGATTTAATTCCTCGGGGTAAACAAGAGTTATCTACCCCTGATTATATCGATTTTTTTATTTCCTTTAAAACGAAGCTCTAGATGTAAGTTAAATAAGCTCTTTTTGTATTCTAATGTAGCTCTACTGGTGGGAAATTTGTAGACAAGGCCAATTAATAAACAACGCCGGTAATACTGTGTGTTCTCTGTGTAGATGAGTCTGTTTGTCTGTCTGCGGTTTGTGTTCTCTCTGTACATGAGTCTGTACGTCTGTCTGCGGTTTGTGTTCTCTGTGTAGATGAGTCTGTACGTCTGTCTGCGGTTTGCAACAGAAATATTTGATGGAATAAAAAAAATTAAATCTAAGTACACTACCACCTAACACTCTCAATCAGAGACTACACACTACACTCAACAACCTAACAATCTCAATCAGAGACTACACACTACACTCAACAACCTAACAATCTCAATCAGAGACTACACACTACACACTACAACATTACTAATTCAATACACAGTTCTTACTTTTCAATAGAATTCATGATATGGAACAGACTGGATATCTTTTTAGCGTCACGGTTAGTGTTATAACTTATAATACGGTGAATATTATAACTTATAATACGGTTAGTATTATAACGTATAATACGGTTTGTGTAATAAGCTATAATACGGTTTGTGTTATAACTTATAATACCGATAGTACGTTTCTTGAAGTAGAATCTTGATGTCAACAGACAACTAAATGACGTCTGTTTCCTCACACGTGCATTCTGTGAGTGTTTGTGTACAGAGTTTCTACCAGGCATCTCTTCGGGGGGACTAAGCCCCCCCCCCCCCGAAAATTTTTTACCGCCCCCCCCCCCCCCCCCCCGAACGAAATGAAATTTATATAATTTATATAGGAAATATATACTTTTAAAAGAGTCCGCCCCCCGAAGAAAGTCTACCGCCCCCCCCCCCCCCCGAAAATTTCAAGTGCCCCCTGGAGAAAAAGTCTGGAAGAAACACTGTTTGTGTAGCTGTGAGTCTCAGTGATCTTTAACATTTTTGTGTATCTAGTTTCTCTAGCTCAGCACTTCGTCAAGTCGGCTGAACTTGACGATTTTGTTAACTCTCCAGAAGCTGAAAAACTGTCAAGTTTTAAAACGTTCAAAATGGCGGCTATGGCGTTACCTGACCTACTTAGCGACGAAGCAAGGGACATCTGTGATGTTATTTTCACCGTGGCCGTTCACGGTTTTTTAGGCGTGTTTGGCACCGTCACCAACGTCATAAACATCATGGTGTTTATAAACCAGGTCAGCAGTTCACACCAACTTCATAGGCCAGTTTGTCAAAACATCTGGTTAATGATTTTAAAGTAACTGATGTAACATTTGTGTATAATGTATTTCTAAATTTCGGCAAATTGTGGTATTTATAATCAGCTTATATATATATATATATATATATATATATATATATATATATATATATATATATATATATATATATCATAAATAGATTTATATTAAGCTAAAATAGCATTTTTTTTAAACGAAACAAAATTAGACATAAGAAAGAATAAGTGATCGCTTCCTTACACATCCTACGTCCAGGGACTGAATGAAACAGTGACCATCAGTTTCCTGGCCCTAAGTCTGGCTGACCTAGGTAACGTGCTGCCCCTGGTCTGGTCTAGTGTGTGTTCGAATCCCTGGTTCCAGCTAAGGCGACAAACAGAAAACACGCTTTTTGTGCACCTGACCTCAGGTGAGTCAAACGTTTTGTGCACCTGACATCAGGTGAGTCAAACGTTTTGTGCACCTGACATCAGGTGAGTCAAACGTTTTGTGCACCTGACATCAGGTGAGTCAAACGTTTTGTGCACCTGACATCAGGTGAGTCTAATTTGAACTCACGTGACAGACTATCTCAGACAAGATATCTCAGACAAGATATCTCAGACAAGATATCTCAGACAAGATATCTCAGACAAGATATCTCAGACAAGATATCTCAGACACGATGTCTCAGACAAACTACCTTTCACAGACAAACAGACAACAAGACGGACAGACAAAGAGACAGACAATGTTAATTTAAAATAAGCTTATACAAATGTCTTTCATGAAGACAAAACTAGTGTTTATCCTTATTACAACTAAAAGCTTTCCAATATGTCTAGGTGCCCCCCACGCCATGTTTCTCAGATGTTCTCTCTGGATTCGAGTGTACATCAACATTGAAAGATGTCTGTGTATCATATTCCCACTCCAAGTCAAGTTGCTAGTCACCAAGAGAACAACCGTTCTAGTTCTACTTTTGATATACATGCTGATGTTCACTTTTCTGGTACAAGACGCGGCCTGCCACCCACTAGAGCCGTACTTTGACACGAGAAAAAACCTCACCGTCTTTGGTGTGACACTAACAAGCAGTGAAGCGTGCAATATCAACCTGAGCAACCTGATGAATGTGTCCGCCAGAGTTATCATCTACCTCCTGGATATCATCCTAACACTTATCATGATACAACACTTGCAGGTCAAATCAAAATGGCGTAGCGAGACTTTTGCCGGAAACACAAAACACGAGGCGACCTTGAGAGATGACAGACTAATTAAAATGCTGGTTTTCATTTCCTTTCTCTACATCTTCACCTCGCTGCCGGCTATTTGCTACACGGTGTGTAACGTAGTCTTGAGCTCCGTGTTTGCCCGTTATGGCGTCAACCGAAATTTTTACTCACTCGTCTACTCCATCGCCGTGTCGGGGGAGGCGATCGGGAGTTCCTTCAATATTTTTATCTACTACACCATGAGCGCCAAGTTTAAAATGGCCTTTCTGCAGATCTTCGGCAGAAGAAAATGATTCAGTGAAAATAATTTGATAATATCGCCTGTCAAATACTTTATTTTTAACAGTGGAAGTTTCAATGTTGTAAAAACAAATTTAAAAAACCCCAATGTGGATTATGTAAATGTTGTGGTTAAGGTTGCAGCAATCAAATAACATTTTAATGTTTTAAAAGTTAAGGCAAACGATCTCTAAAATAATGAACGGAGTTCGTCCCTATTGGTATACGGTAATAGTTAATTAAAGCATGATTTAGAGACTTCTTGTCTTGTGATTTTTTTCTCCCATTGCACGGCGTTTCTCTTAAAAACCTCTCAAAACTCTAAAAATTAAATAGCTGCTCCATTTTAGTTTCTTATTGAATGAACTAGGCTATGAAAACACACCCAGAAAAAAAATCAAGCAGAAATCGGAGTCTTTATTGTGCATGACAATTGACCAGTAATACTAAATTGTGATTGGAGGAAATTCTGTCCAACATTGCAATAAAGCACCTTATAGATTTGATAAATCAACCACTAGTTAAAGTTTATCAAGTAAGTTTTGAATGTTCACGTCAACTAGTCTTGTCGAAAAGTTTCTGACTACGTCTGTCTATAGAAAAAAAATTGCTCCGTACTGCTGTAGGTTTTATTTCCTTGCTTGTCAGCAATAGACATAAGTAGTGTAGCAACGTGACGTGAACTTCTTATAGACATATTAAGTATTTTACCAATGGTAAAATGTACGCAATACCCGGATTCGTTTCGGATGGTCCTAGACTGATGAAATACGAAACAAAAAGGATTACCAGACAACAAAAACTCTTCACGGACTCGAAACTAATGTCTAGGGTAAAAAAAAGACCTTGTGCAACTAATAAACTTTTAATCAATCTAGAACCTTCTAAAAAGTAAACAAGCCTAAATAATAAAATACAAATACTATGCGAAAAAGGAAATATACAATAATGAAAGACCCAACTTACAATTTTCAGGAATAACACACTGAAACTACTAACACTGGATAAGGTACCTAAGTTATCACCACAACCTACACGTTATTAAAATAAGACACAGAAAAATACTGAGCACAATGGTACTTAGAGATAATTACTGCTTAATCTTGAAAATACAACATGGTGTCGTGGCTCTCTCTCCCTGTGGGTGTCTAGTGGGGTCATCGTGCGAGGAAAATTCCTCCTTTATATACTACGCTAAAATTATGGGATGTCGACCTCAATGTCAAGGACCATTGGGGGAAGGAGCCACAGCACGAGTCACACAAACTCAGTGGTGAACACTATCACATGAGTGTGATGGAAAATTTCTTGTTTAACCCACAGACTACTCAAGGCCATTTAAATATTTATAAAAATAAACAATTAAAAAAAGAAGACCTAAGTAGGTTACAGCTAACACCGTCGCAGTTCATAGGACATTCAATGAACCTTGTTATATAGAAATGTACAACCTCTATTAAACAGGTTTGTGCTTGTTTAGTGAGTGGCCTTGTTTGACACTGGCAGGTTTTTGCTGGGTTTTGTTCTCCCCACAGAAAAGGCCCCTGAAAATGTTCCTGTAGTTGGAGCTCATGGTGTAGTAGACGAAGATGTTGACGGAGCTGTTGACACCCTCCAGCGTCAGGATGACGGACCACGACAGCAGGAACAAGTTCTGCTGGACGCCGGCCAGGCTGTAGGCGCTGGCGTAGACCACGCCCAGCAGGAAGTTGATGCAGCTGGGCATGAGGCAGACGATGAAGATGCAGGAGATGAGTGTCACCATCTTGACGACCTTCTTGTCCCGCAGCGCCATCCCCTCCCCCGCACTCGTCGCCTCGCTCCGCCACCTGGACTTGACCTGCAGCTGGTGGACGATGAGGCCAGTGAAGATGACGTCAAGGATGAAGGAGCTGAACTGGGAGACCACTATGTAGGTGGAGCCGATACTCTCAATGTACGGGCCGTCGTCTTTAAATATTCTGGCCAGCAGAGTTCTATTCATAGAGGGGAAGTAATGCCAGCCGATGTATGCACAGATAAACAAGGGCGACACTCCGATGAAGGTAACGACGGATATGATGACGAGGAAGATGACAGTTCGCCGTGGGGTGATGATCTGCTTGACCTTGAGGGGCAGGGCGATACAGAGGCATCTCTCGAAGGTGATGAAGGTCGTCGTCCACCAGGCGATGCGGACAAAGATGGCGTGTGGCACAGCTGGGGAACAAACAGGGGAACAAAGATGGCGTGGGGCACGGCTGGGGAACAAACAGGGGAACAAAGATGGCGTGTGGCACAGCTGGGGAACAAACAGGGGAACAAAGATGGCGTGGGGCACGGCTGGGGAACAAACAGGGGAACAAAGATGGCGTGTGGCACGGCTGGGGAACAGACAGGGGAACAAAGATGGCGTGTGGCACAGCTGGGGAACAAACAGGGGAACAAAGATGGCGTGGGGCACGGCTGGGGAACAAACAGGGGAACAAAGATGGCGTGTGGCACAGCTGGGGAACAAACAGGGGAACAAAGATGGCGTGGGGCACGGCTGGGGAACAGACAGGGGAACAAAGATGGCGTGTGGTACAGCTGGGGAACAGACAGGGGAACAAAGATGGCGTGTGGCACGGCTGGGGAACAGACAGGGGAACAAAGATGGCGTGTGGCACAGCTGGGGAACAAACAGGGGAACAAAGATGGCGTGGGGCACGGCTGGGGAACAAACAGGGGAACAAAGATGGCGTGTGGCACAGCTGGGGAACAAACAGGGGAACAAAGATGGCGTGGGGCACGGCTGGGGAACAAACAGGGGAACAAAGATGGCGTGTGGCACAGCTGGGGAACAAACAGGGGAACAAAGATGGCGTGGGGCACGGCTGGGGAACAAACAGGGGAACAGACAGGGGAACAAAGATGGCGTGGGGCACGGCTGGGGAACAAACAGGGGAACAGACAGGGGAACAAAGATGGCGTGTGGCACGGCTGGGGAACAGACAGGGGAACAAACATGGCGTGTGGCACAGCTGGGGAACAAACAGGGGAACAGACAGGGGAACAAAGATGGCGTGTGGCACGGCTGGGGAACAGATGCAAACAGGGGAACAAACAGGGGAACAAACAGGGGAACAAACAGGGGAACAAAGATGGCGCGTGGCACAGCTGGGGAACCAACAGGGGAACAAACAGGGGAACAAACAGGGGAACAAAGATGGCGTGTGGCACGGCTGGGGAACAGATGCAAACAGGGGAACAAACAGGGGAACAAACAGGGGAACAAACAGGGGAACAAAGATGGCGTGTGGCACGGCTGGGGAACAGATGCAAACAGGGGAACAAACAGGGGAACAAACAGGGGAACAAAGATGGCGTATGGCACGGCTGGGGAACAGACACAAACAGATACATCTACAGTGGCTAAACAGAGGAACAACAACCTGACATAAACACGTCTTCAATGGACAAACATACTGGACCTGCAGATGTTATGCTACAACCCTAACCCAGAGAAAGAATTGGGCTAGAAGATGTCTTTACGCTACAGCCCCAACAACGACCTCAAAACTTATACTGAACCTACGTTTTGAGTCTTTTCGTTCGATACACAAATATTAGATGGTAAGCACATTAAATCGGAGCTTCTGTGATTTATTAGATTAAAATCTACAAAATCCGTGCGAGCATGATTTTCAATTGGTATACATACCTATGCAATTATCGAATCATTATTAATTATCTGGTCATGTAATCTTTAAAAATTCCAACACTTTTATTTAACACCAACCAACAAACACCAACCTCCAAACACCAACCTACAAATACCAACCTACAAACACCAACCTACAATCACCAATCACCAACCTACAAACACCAACCTACAAACACCAATCACCAACCTACAAACACCAACCTACAAACACCAATCACCAACCTACAAACACCAACCTACAAACACCAACCTACAAACACCAACCTACAAACACCAACCTACAAACACCAACCTACAAACACTAACCTACAAACACCAACCTACAAACACCAACCTACAAACACCAACCTATAAACACCAACCTACAAACACCAACCTACAAACACCAACCTACAAACACCAACCTATAAACACCAACCTACAATCACCAACCTACAAACACCAACCTACAAACACCAATCACCAACCTACAAACACCAACCTACAAACACCAATCACCAACCTACAAACACCAACCTACAAACACCAACCTACAAACACCAACCTACAAACACCAACCTACAAACACCAACCTACAAACACCAACCAACAAACACCAACCTACAAACACCAACCTACAAACACCAGCCTACAAACATAATGTCCACCTACCTGCCGTGACGTAGTGTATATCGAACGCTACGAAATCGATGTCCGAGCCAGCAAACAGGGGATTCAAACACACGCTCTCCCAGAGCAGGGTGACCAGACTACCCAGGTCAGTGATGGCTAGGGCAAACAGGCTGATGGTCACAGAGTCGCTCAGACCCTGCGGATCAAAGTTTTTAATTAATGACACACTTATCGTGGGACGGTATGTTTATACAGTCCCGGGGTGTGAGTCAGTCATTAACTGGTGCTATTTATATTAGGTGATCTACACCATACAATTAGCGATGGACAAAATACAACTAGAGACGACAAAATACAGCTAGAGACGACAAAATACTGCTAGAGACGACAAAATACAGCTAGAGACGACATAATACAGTTAGAGACGACAAGAATACAGCTAGGGACGAAAAATTACCACTAGGGACAACAAAAATACCACAAGGGACGACAAAAATACCACTATGGACGACATAAATACCACTAGGGACGACAAAAATACCACTAGGGACGACAAAAATACTACTATGGACGACAAAAATACCAATAGGGATGACAAAAATACCACTATGGACGACAAAAATACCACTAGGGACGACAAAAATACCACTAGGGACGACAAAAATACCACTATAAACGACAAAAATACCACTAGGGACGACAAAAATACCACTATGGACGACAAAAATACCACTAGGGACGACAAAAATACCACAAGGGACGACAAAAATACCACTATAAACGACAAAAATACCACTAGGGACGACAAAAATACCACTATGGACGACAAAAATACCACTAGGGACGACAAAAATACCACAAGGGACGACAAAAATACCACAAGGGACGACAAAAATACCACTAGGGACGACAAAAATACCACAAGGGACGACAAAAATACCACAAGGGACGACAAATATACTGCGATCAACAGACAGAAAAAAATTCATAAAGAAACGTTTTAATAACAAACTTGTATGTAATAATGCACTAAAAAGTAGAAAATAAATTATAGACTACTATTTTAATAACTAAAAAGAAAAGCGTAAGTCTTTTTATTATCTATTGGATACCTTTACTAATAATTAGGAAGCGGCCCCGCGCTTTTTTTTCTATATATTTAAATATTAGCGTATAATGTATTATATTATTATAATAGTGCATTATTAAATAAAAGCTTGTAATTAAAACGTTTGTTATGAATTTGTTTTTCCAAGCTTTTACTTAACTCACTGTCTCACAGATTCGGTTTAGTACTTTACATTTTTTAAATTTAAAAAGTTGCTTGAATAAAAACCATCGCGCAAAAAAATTATATACTACTATTTAAATAACTATAAAGAAAAGCGTGGGTCACTTTAGAATTGCTGACTAAAAACCATTTTGCACCTAATAATGGTGATGACGCGTGTATAATAGTGCGGAATGATTGGGCGAGACTGCCTACAAATTTGGCCAAAATTTTAATTAATTCATAAAAAATCAATTCAGCAACCAATTAAGTCACATTTAATGTCATGTTGCATTGTTTTCATGTCTTGACCCACGTACCAACTATGAACCGAATCTGTCAGTTAGAAGTGCCCGAATTTTTGCTCGGGCGTTTCGATCTAGACAGACTGATGACAGAGACAGTGAGTTAAATAAAAGCTTGATTAGCTTGTTGAGAGACTGGTCGGAGGCCGGATCAGTGGTGTAGTAGCCAACTGTAAAAAAAATTCGTAACAAAAATTCATAGAACACGTTTTAATAACAAGCTTTCATGTAATAATGCACTAAAAAGTAGAAAATAAATTATACACTACTATTTAAATAACTATAAAGAAAAGCGTGGGCACTTTAGTATCTATTGGATACCTTTACTAATATTTAAGAAGAGACCTACGATTTTCTTTATAATTATTTAAATAGTGTATAATTTATTTTCTACTTTTTAGTGCATTATTACATAAAAGGTTGCTATTAAAACGCTTTTTATTGAATTTTTTTAGTACTTTACATGTTTTATTTACACTAGAGTTGCAAGACTAAAAACCATTGCACACCTATTGAACGTGATGACTAATATTGTGGAAGAGTTGGATGAGACAGCCTACTAATTTGGACAAAATTTTGATTAATTCATAAAAATTAATCAGGCAACCAATTAAGTCAAATTTAATGTCATGTTGCATTGTCTTCATGTCTTGAACCACGTGCCAACGTTGAAACAAATCTGTCAGTTAGAAGTGCCTGCAATTTCGCTCGAGCGTTTCGATCTAGTTAGACAGACTGACCAGGAAGTGAGTAAAATAAAAACTTGTAAAAAAGAGTTTATGTCTAGCCCATCTTATTTTTAATCTAATTTAAATTTTTGTCTTAAATTTTGATGTTTCGGTGATTCAGTATACACACCCATATATCTTATGACAGACACACAGCCATTTATGACAGGCAGACGCCATCTCATGACAGACACACAACATCTGATGATAGAAACAAAACATGGTGGCAGACATACATTTCACGACAGACAGACTATATAACACGACAGACCCACGACAGACGACAGATGACAGCCACACAACACCTGATGACAGACAGACGACAGACGACAGATGACAGATGACAGCCACACAACACCTGATGACAGACGACAGCCACACAACACCTGATGACAGATGACAGCCACACAACACCTGATGACAGCCGTACAACACCTGATGACAGACGACAGCCACACAACACCTGATGACAGATGACAGCCACACAACACCTGATGACAGACGACAGCCACACAACACCTGATGACAGATGACAGCCACACAACACCTGATGACAGACGACAGCCACACAACACCTGATGACAGATGACAGCCACACAACACCTGATGACAGATGACAGCCACACAACACCTGATGACAGCCGTACAACACCTGATGACAGATGACAGCCACACAACACCTGATGACAGACAGACGACAGACGACAGACGACAGATGACAGCCACACAACACCTGATGACAGACAGACGACAGACGACAGACGACAGATGACAGCTACACAACACCTGATGACAAACACACGACAGACGACAGACACAGGACCCACCTGCTTTAAGAAGACGATGATGTTGATTATATTAGCGATGGAGCCAAAGAAGCCAAAGACGCCATTGAGCACGACAAAGAAAATAATTTCAAAGACTTTCCTCAAGTCATCGCTGATTAGTCTCTCAAGCGACTGGTCGGAGGCCGGTCCAGTGGTGTAGTTGTAGCTGATTAGCTTGTTGAGAGACTGGTCGGAGGCCGGGCCAGTGGTGTAGTAGCCAACTGACCCATCGGTCGTTAGCAGCATCCTGCGCTGGGCTCCAGTCAGGACTTGTTTCACTGTTGCTAGTTGTTTAATGTTTGCCCCTTGGATTGTTAATTGTGTACAAGAGATGGTTAAAGTAGATAAAAGAACACATCTTTAAAACACTACATATACAATAAAACATGTTCTAATCTACTAAAATCATCCAAAATACTAAAATGTTTTGCCGTTGTAAATTTTGTCTTAGATGTTTTTGTCTGAGATCAATTGCCGATGTGTCATTTGTCCTGATATATTGTGTACTGAAATCTTTTGTCACTGAGATAATCTGTAACCCACCATACAAACATCTTTAACTTATTGAAAAAAAATCATATTTGAAAATTAACTTGATTTATTCGTAACGACTAATAGAAAAAATGATGAGTTTAGCTCCTAGAGTGAGTTACATTTGTGAGCACTTACTTACATATAAGAAATGTAATGACATTTTACATCTGTTCCTTCTCCGCCTTTTGCAATGTCAACTAACATCTTTTGGAACGATCCCATTTTGAAAGCTGGAGAATTAAAATTGTTAATTTAACTGTCCTTTGTGATAATGACGGACTAGATTTCAGGACAAACTGAATTAGAACCCCGCAACAAATCTGATAGAAATGTGTCTGATCGTGTTGGAGCCAAATAAAAATTAAACAAACCTCACATCGACGTCGTTCAGGGAAACAGACGGGTCCAGTCAGGTGTAGAGACCAGGCTTTAAGAAATCTGTAAGTGCTGTGAAATATGGGTTCCAGAGAATTAGTTTTACCGTGAGATAAATGTAATGATTCAGGTTGAACTGTTGTGAAGACTTGTTGTAGACTTGTTGAAGTCCTCAAAGATCTCAGACCATTGTCTACATCTTCAGGTTTGGCAGGCTAAGTGCTGATGTCTTGACAGCTTGATGTGATGTCATGACAGCTTGAGGTCACGTCTGTCACGTACGTGACAACACTGACATATCTCAGACATCGCTACGTCATGAAAGTTCTAGAAATTATTTAATCACACGTGGATCGACCAGACAAGTTGATGAAAATCACCGGAGCAGTTTTGACAAGAGATTTACAGATTTACAGATGAGCAGATTTACAAGTACCATAACAAATGTTTAAATTGTTTCCACTCCAACACTTGCTAATCACACGACCGGTGACAATTTTGTTCTCACGACAATCTGAAGTGCCAAGTTTGGAGAAACTATAATTAGAGTTTTTTAAAGCGGTGAGTGATTTCGGTCAAACGACGTGTATGTAGTAGTGTACTGGAAGTGTAAGTTTTAAACATCAGACATGAAGCGCGCTCACAAAGACTCGCATGACCTCACCCCACACTGCTCACCCTTCACGTGCCCCCACCCCCTTACCCCTGCCCACAGTTGGTCACAATGATTGTCTGCCCCGAGAGTTGTCTGCCCTTGGTAAATTCTGAGTTTGCTGCCCAAGTGGTTTGGTCAGACTCGACACAAATGTCAGCTGTCACCTGATGTCACGTGATTTTAATTCGATGACATCTGTTCATTTTATATCGATTTCATCAAAACATCATCGAGGTCAAATGTTGATGAAATCAAATGATCACCAAGATGAAAATGTTGATGAAATCAAATGATCAGCTGGGTGAAAATGTTGATGAAATCAAATGATCAGCTAGATGAAAATGTTGATGAAATCAAATGATCAGCTAGATGAAAATGTTGATGAAATCAAATGATCAGCTGGGTGAAAATGTTGATGAAATCAAATGATCACCGAGGTGAAAATGTGGATGAAATTTTTAAAAATCTTTCTGCTGCATTAGTTTGTGTGCAACTAGAATAGACCTCAAGTGATAGTTCGTGATGTTCACCAACGTTATGTGAAGACTTGGTTCACTTTATTCCCTGTGTTATATAGCTGTTGCCATGGTTACGTGACCTCCAGGTCTCGATAAAACGACAGAAAAATGAGTAAACAAGCCGTTATGTGAAAAACGTCACCTTTGTGTTTGCTTACATGTGTCTGCTAAAATTTGTCTGTTTGCTTACATTTCACAAATGGTCTCTAGCAAATCGATTCCAGCTAATTATTTGACGACTGTGTTTGCAGTAAAACAAAGAGAAATGTATTTGAATTAAAACTTGTAACGACGTGACGTTAACGAGATCTTTTGTTCATGGAAGTTTATTAGGTGTGTTTGATAGCATCCTGTTGTTTGTTGAGGTAATTAAATTAATAGAGTTGTATCCCTTTGGCAGCTCTAAGAGTTCGCCCCCTGGCGGTGGAGTTGTCTCAGAGAATTGAATCGATCGAGTCCTGGAGAAATGACACGGCTAGTTTACTTCAAGGGGAGACAAACTATTATTTCAACAAGGGAAGACAATCGCTCCTTGTTCAAACAGTAACAAGTCCACTTTACATTTAAACAGTAATTTAAGGGGACAGAATCTAGTAGAAAATTAGTTTGAATTTATCAGGGTTATCTCCTGCAAGAGAAAATCATTTGATGTTTAGCAAAGTTGTGAATTGTGCAATCTTTGGTCGCTGATTTCAACCCGAAAGTCTGTCCACCCAGTGGCCGAGCAGTAAAATTTTTTTTATTTGCTTCAGTTTTATTGCACTAGGCTCATTTAAGCTCAAGCTTTAAATTTCGTACTCAAGTAAACTCAGTGTCAAGCTCTAAGCTCCAGTTAGCTCAACTGACAAGCTCTAACATCCAGTTAGCTGAAAGCGTCAAGCTCTAAGCTCCAATCTGCTCAAGATGTAATCGAAACCACTTCAGTCTACTGAAGACTATCAGTGAAAAATTTTGACAATGCTACCAGTAAAGAATTTCAGTAAAAAAATCTGGAAAATGCTATCAATCTACTGAAGACTTTCAGTGAAAAATCTGGACAATGCTTTCAGTCTGGTGAAGACTTTTAGTTTCGATGAAGGACCAACCTACGATGTTTTATTTGCCAAATATGTTTGTGTTTTAAATCTTTCGACACATTGAAAATAATCAGTTGTATACTTTACATTATCTGATGTGTTTGTTATTCTTATGTTTCAACAAGTTTAAAAAATAGATTTGAACCAAACGACGTGGCTGGGGATAGCGCGTATGGTGTGTAAACATTTCTTTAGTGACTTAAATAAGTGGTCTAAAAATTCCAATCTAATTCACTTTTATTGGCAGTTGATCTGATCATAAGAGTGGTAGTTCTACTTCAATCATTGATTAGTTTTCCTGTTCTCATAGATTTTCAAAATGTCGTAGTTAGTTGTATGAAAGTATTTGACAGACGCCATCGTTTCAATCGTCTGCTGTGTGTTACATCTGGTCGTGTCGTCAGCTCATCCAAGTCTCAGCTTGAGCAGGTTGCCCACACGGCAGGTTGTGGCAGGTTGCTCACACGGAAGGTTGTGGCAGGTTGCTCACATGGAAGGTTGTGGTAGGTTGCCCACACGGCAGGTTGCTCACACGGCAGGTTGTGTCAGGTTGCTCACACGGCAGGTTGCTCACACGGCAGGTTGCTCACACGGCAGGTTGTGACAGGTTGCTCACACGGCAGGTTGTGGCAGGTTGCCCGCACGGCAGGTTGCTCACACGGCAGGTTGTGACAGGTTGCTCACACGGCAGGTTGTGTCAGGTTGCTCACACGGCAGGTTGCTCACACGGCAGGTTGTGACAGGTTGCTCACACGGCAGGTTGTGGCAGGTTGCCCGCACGGCAGGTTGCCCACACGGCAGGTTGTGGCAGGTTGCTCACACGGCAGGTTGTGTCAGGTTGCTCACACGGCAGGTTGTGTCAGGTTGCCCACACGGAAAGTTATGGCAGGTTGCTGACACGGCAGGTTGTGGAAGGTTGCCCACACGGCAGGTTGTGGAAAGTTGCCCACACGGCAGGTTGTGGAAGGTTGCCCACACGGCAGGTTGTGGAAGGTTGCCCACACGGCAGGTTGTGGAAGGTTGCTCACACGGCAGGTCGCCCACACGGCAGGTTGTGACAGGTTGCCCACACGGCAGGTTGCTGAAGGCTGTCAACAATTCTATTCAAGTGAGGCAGCCAACTGTCTGGCTTGTTTGATTTCACGGTAGGCTGATCTTACGGATTAACCCACTGGGGGGGGGGGGCGGGGTGGTGGTAATTAGGGAACTAGTGATGGAGGCTAATCGCTAATTAATGATTGTTGAGTGAATGGAGGTCAGGCTTGATCAGTACGTGTTGGTTAAATTATAATGTATTCTGTACAACTGTCACGCAGTGAGTCAGGGAGTCAGTCAAATAGTCGCTCAGGGAGTCAGTGAGTCAGTCAAATAGTCACTCAGTGAGTTTGTCATTCAAAGAATCAGTGAGTCTTAATGCGGTTGTGTTAAAATTTCATAATGATAACATATATTATATAGTATGTCATATTATATTTAACATCATTACACCATATACAAACCATCACCACACCAATACCAACACATATCCACAACATCATCACACCAACACACATCAACACATTTGTATATATACACCATCATCTAATTTCAACATTCACACGTCAACACATGTGTATATATACACTATCATCTAATTTCAACATTCACACAGCAACACATTTGTATATATACACTATCATCTAATTTCAACATTCACACATCAATACATTTGTATATATACACTATCATCTAATTTCAACATTCACACGTCAACACATTTGTATATATATACACTATCATCTAATTTCAACATTCACACGTCAACACATTTGTATATATACACCATCATCTAATTTCAACATTCACACGTCAACACATTTGAATATATACACCATCATCTAATTTCAACATTCACACATCAACACATTTGTATATATACACCATCATCTAATTTCAACATTCACACATCAACACATTTGTATATATACACTATCATCTAATTTCAACATTCACACAGCAACACATTTGAACATCTACATTTTCATCTAATTTCAACATTCACACATCAACACATTTGTACATCTACACTATCATATAATTTCAACATTCACGCATCAACACATTTGTACATCTACATTTTCATCTAATTTCAACATTCACACATCAACACATTTGTACATCTACACTATCATATAATTTCAACATTCACGCATCAACACATTTGTATATATACACCATTACTTCAAAAGAACATTCACTATTATACACTTCGCCATTGTATGCTAGAAAGCCACACAACTGTAAACACTCTACCCCTCCCCCACACATATACACAGACAGACTTACACAGTGTGGGTCTGTGTGGGTCTGTCTGTGTGTGTCTGTGTGGGTCTGTCCGTATGTGTCTGTGTGCTAACACACAGCCTGTCTGTGCCCTCCACCACATGCTTCCCTAGGTTCAAATCTTTTGTCTGTTGTGCTATGGTCAGCTGACACGAACAAAAGTTTCAATCATTTCAATCAGCAGTTCTTCTGCTCCCCGCCACCAGGCTGACTTAATTAGATCACCTGCTGCTAACTTAATTACCTAATTACTTTCTTCCTGATCACGTCTGAAAAATGTGTATATAACATGAACTTTTGGTTCGTCTTTACGACAATACGTAAGTTGCACCGAACAAATTAGAAAGTTCAACAGAACAAGTTACAAATGTCCACAGAACAGACCATGAAGATCTACGTTGCTCTTCTTATCTTGGGTATCTCTGTGGCTGTGTTTGCTGATGAAGGTATGTTTGTCTATAGCTTGTTAGGTTAATTATTGGATGTGAGTTGTTAATGAAGTTAATTAATCAATGCTTATTTTAATAAATTGAACCAATGACTGATAGATTAGAAAGAATATTTTCGTTCCCCTGACTTTCACCATAATAAAAAGATATTTAATGTTTCGGATGTAAATAAAGGCTAGGTAACTGCTTTACCTAAAAAAGGATAAATAATTTTTTTGTAATGTTTAGCACTTGATTAGGCTTAGAGTCTGGTAAATGTTTTCTAATTGTCCGACTGAACAGTCCGATATGACAGTCGTCGTGTAGTAAAAATAAAATGTTGTTGTTCACATCAAGGCTGTCACGTAGATGGTGAGTACTATGTTCAAGGCGCGGCGGTGCACACAAAGTCCTTCTGCCTGACGGACTGCGTCTGCGTGACCGATTTCTTGGATTGCGATGAGAGCAAATGTGAAGCCATGAAAGCCTGCTATTTTGGCGGGGAGTGGATCGCTGAAGGCAAGGGGGTCGAATCCCCGTCTGACTGCGAGGGCTGTGTTTGTGTAGATGGCGACATTAGATGTCATCTTAGTCCTGAGTGTCTTGTAGATGAGTATGACACAGAGGAGTACGTACATCAGCTAATGAAATATTTCATTTACATTTTTTTATAGCAGCTACAAACTGAGATCTCTAGGGTTCTGAGAGTTTTGCACTGGGCAAATAATATGACACAATAATATTTTATGGATCTGAGACTTTTGCACTGGGCAAATAACATGACACAATATTTTATGGATGTGAGACTTTTGCACTGGGCAAATAATATGACACAATATTTTATGGATCTGAGACTTTTGCACTGGGCAAATAACTTGACACAATATTTAATGGATCTGAGACTTTTGCACTGGGCAAATAATATGACACAATGATATTTTATGGATCTGAGACTTTTGCACTGGGCAAATAACATGCCAAAGTGATATTTTATGGATCTGAGACTTTTGCACTGGGCAAATAATATGACAAAATGATATTTTATGGATCTGAGACTTTTGCACTGGGCAAATAACTTGACACAATGATATTTTATGGATCTGAGACTTTTGCACTGGGCAAATAACTTGACACAATATTTAATGGATCTGAGACTTTTGCACTGGGCAAATAATATGACACAATAATATTTTATGGATCTGAGACTTTTGCACTGGGCAAATAACATGACAAAGTGATATTTTATGGATCTGAGACTTTTGCACTGGGCAAATAATATGACAAAATGATATTTTATGGATCTGAGACTTTTGCACTGGGCAAATAACTTGACACAATATTTAATGGATCTGAGACTTTTGCACTGGGCAAATAATATGACACAATGATATTTTATGGATCTGAGACTTTTGCACTGGGCAAATAATATGACAAAATGATATCTTATGGATCTGAGACTTTTGTACTGGGCAAATAATATGACAAAATGATATTTTATGGATCTGAGACTTTTGCACTGGGCAAATAATATGACAAAATGATATTTTATGGATCTGAGACTTTTGCACTGGGCAAATAATATGACACAATGATATTTTATGGATCTGAGACTTTTGCACTGGGCAAATAACATGACAAAGTGATATTTTATGGATCTGAGACTTTTGCACTGGGCAAATAATATGACAAAATGATATTTTATGGATCTGAGACTTTTGCACTGGGCAAATAACTTGACACAATGATATTTTATGGATCTGAGACTTTTGCACTGGGCAAATAACTTGACACAATATTTAATGGATCTGAGACTTTTGCACTTGGCAAATAATATGACACAATGATATTTTATGGATCTGAGACTTTTGCACTGGGCAAATAACATGACAAAGTGATATTTTATGGTTCTGAGACTTTTGCACTGGGCAAATAATATGACAAAATGATATTTTATGGATCTGAGACTTTTGCACTGGGCAAATAATATGACACAATGATATTTTATGGATCTGAGACTTTTGCACTGGGCAAATAATATGTTACGATGATGTTTTATTGATCTGAGACTTTTGCACTGGGCAAATAATATGACACAATGATATTTTATGGATCTGAGACTTTTGCACTGGGCAAATAATATGACACAATGATATTTTATGGATCTGAGACTTTTGCACTGGGCAAATAATATGACAAAATGATATTTTATGGATCTGAGACTTTTGCACTGGGCAAATAATATGACAAAATGATATTTTATGGATCTGAGACTTTTGCACTGGGCAAATAATATGACAAAATGATATTTTATGGATCTGAGACTTTTGCACTGGGCAAATAACATGACACAATGATATTTTATGGATCTGAGACTTTTGCACTGGGCAAATAATATGACAAAATGATATTTTATGGATCTGAGACTTTTGCACTGGGCAAATAATATGACAAAATGATATTTTATGGATCTGAGACTTTTGCACTGGGCAAATAATATGACAAAATGATATTTTATGGATCTGAGACTTTTGCACTGGGCAAATAATATGACAAAATGATATTTTATGGATCTGAGACTTTTGCACTGGGCAAATAACTTGACACAATGATATTTTATGGATCTGAGACTTTTGCACTGGGCAAATAACTTGACACAATATTTAATGGATCTGAGACTTTTGCACTTGGCAAATAATATGACACAATGATATTTTATGGATCTGAGACTTTTGCACTGGGCAAATAACATGACAAAGTGATATTTTATGGTTCTGAGACTTTTGCACTGGGCAAATAATATGACACAATGATATTTTATGGATCTGAGACTTTTGCACTGGGCAAATAATATGACAAAATGATATTTTATGGATCTGAGACTTTTGCACTGGGCAAATAACTTGACACAATGATATTTTATGGATCTGAGACTTTTGCACTGGGCAAATAACTTGACACAATGATATTTTATGGATCTGAGACTTTTGCACTGGGCAAATAACTTGACACAATATTTAATGGATCTGAGACTTTTGCACTGGGCAAATAATATGACACAATAATATTTTATGGATCTGAGACTTTTGCACTGGGCAAATAACATGACAAAGTGATATTTTATGGATCTGAGACTTTTGCACTGGGCAAATAATATGACAAAATGATATTTTATGGATCTGAGACTTTTGCACTGGGCAAATAACTTGACACAATATTTAATGGATCTGAGACTTTTGCACTGGGCAAATATTATGACACAATGATATTTTATGGATCTGAGACTTTTGCACTGGGCAAATAATATGACAAAATGATATCTTATGGATCTGAGACTTTTGTACTGGGCAAATAATATGACAAAATGATATTTTATGGATCTGAGACTTTTGCACTGGGCAAATAATATGACAAAATGATATTTTATGGATCTGAGACTTTTGCACTGGGCAAATAATATGACACAATGATATTTTATGGATCTGAGACTTTTGCACTGGGCAAATAACATGACAAAGTGATATTTTATGGATCTGAGACTTTTGCACTGGGCAAATAATATGACAAAATGATATTTTATGGATCTGAGACTTTTGCACTGGGCAAATAACTTGACACAATGATATTTTATGGATCTGAGACTTTTGCACTGGGCAAATAACTTGACACAATATTTAATGGATCTGAGACTTTTGCACTTGGCAAATAATATGACACAATGATATTTTATGGATCTGAGACTTTTGCACTGGGCAAATAACATGACAAAGTGATATTTTATGGTTCTGAGACTTTTGCACTGGGCAAATAATATGACAAAATGATATTTTATGGATCTGAGACTTTTGCACTGGGCAAATAACTTGACACAATATTTAATGGATCTGAGACTTTTGCACTCGGCAAATAATATGACAAAATGATATCTTATGGATCTGAGACTTTTGTACTGGGCAAATAATATGACAAAATGATATTTTATGGATCTGAGACTTTTGCACTGGGCAAATAATATGACAAAATGATATTTTATGGATCTGAGACTTTTGCACTGGGCAAATAATATGACAAAATGATATTTTATGGATCTGAGACTTTTGCACTGGGCAAATAATATGACACAATGATATTTTATGGATCTGAGACTTTTGCACTGGGCAAATAATATGTTACGATTATGTTTTATTGATCTGAGACTTTTGCACTGGGCAAATAATATGACACAATGATATTTTATGGATCTGAGACTTTTGCACTGGGCAAATAATATGACAAAATGATATTTTATGGATCTGAGACTTTTGCACTGGGCAAATAATATGACAAAATGATATTTTATGGATCTGAGACTTTTGCACTGGGCAAATAATATGACAAAATGATATTTTATGGATCTGAGACTTTTGCACTGGGCAAATAACTTGACACAATATTTAATGGATCTGAGACTTTTGCACTGGGCAAATAATATGACACAATGATATTTTATGGATCTGAGACTTTTGCACTGGGCAAATAATATGACAAAATGATATTTTATGGATCTGAGACTTTTGCACTGGGCAAATAATATGACAAAATGATATTTTATGGATCTGAGAATTTTGCACTGGGCAAATAATATGACAAAATGATATTTTATGGATCTGAGACTTTTGCACTGGGCAAATAATATGACAAAATGATATTTTATGGATCTGAGACTTTTGCACTGGGCAAATAATATGACAAAATAATATTTTATGGATCTGAGACTTTTGCGCTGGGCAAATAATATGACAAAATGATATTTTATGGATCTGAGACTTTTGCACTGGGCAAATAATATGACAAAATGATATTTTATGGATCTGAGACTTTTGCACTGGGCAAATAATATGACAAAATGATATTTTATGGATCTGAGACTTTTGCACTGGGCAAATAATATGACAAAATGATATTTTATGGATCTGAGACTTTTGCACTGGGCAAATAATATGACAAAATGATATTTTATGGATCTGAGACTTTTGCACTGGGCAAATAATATGACACAATATTTTATGGATCTGAGACTTTTGCACTGGGCAAATAATATGACAAAATGATATTTTATGGATCTGAGACTTTTGCACTGAGCAAATAATATGACAAAATGATATTTTATGGATCTGAGACTTTTGCACTGCGCAAATAATATGACAAAATGATATCTTATGGATCTGAGACTTTTGTACTGGGCAAATAATATGACAAAATGATATTTTATGGATCTGAGACTTTTGTACTGGGCAAATAATATGACAAAATGATATTTTATGGATCTGAGACTTTTGCACTGGGCAAATAATATGACACAATGAGATTTTATCTACACCGCTCGGCAGACAATATTTGTTTTTTTTTAAATAATCCAACAATACAAAATGTGGGTAAAATGGGGGTAAAATGTTAAACCATCAGAGCCCATAAAATATCATCGTGACATGTTTCAGTCATTTTTACATAATTTATTTCATGAAAATACAGGATCTAACTAATCTAATTCACGTGGCAATCTTCATCTATAAACATCGTAAAATCAATTAGTCTATACTTTACAGTCATCGAAATCGCCAATTTCACATACATCATGTGCACAATTTACATAATATGTAACGAAATTACAGCTGTCATCATATATATATATATATATATATATATATATATATATATATATATATATATATATATATAGATAGATAGATAGATAGATAGATAGATAGATAGATAGATAGATATATATATATATATATATATATATATATATATATATATATATTTGTTATGGTTAAAAATAACAACGTTATTGAGTTAATATCTTTATTAAAATATGTCATTTGTAATTATTGACATTTCAGGTCTGCAGAATAATCTTCTACACGTCCACAATCAGATGATGATTAAAAGATGCAGCAATTCAAGATACAAAATGTTGAAATAGTCTAGAACTCCCCCCCCCCCCCATTATACATCATTTATACTTCATTTATACTTCATTTATACTTCATTTATACTTCATTTATACTTCATTTATACTTCATTTATACTTCATTTATACTTCATTTATACTTCATTTATACTTCATTTATACTTCATTTATACTTCATTTATACTTCATTTATACTTCATTTATACTTCATTTATACTTCATTTATACTTCATTTATACTTCATTTATACTTCATTTATACTTCATTTATACTTCATTTATACTTCATTTATACTTCATTTATACTTCATTTATACTTCATTTATACTTCATTTATACTTCATTTATACTTCATTTATACTTCATTTATACTTCATTTATACTTCATTTATACTTCATTTATACTTCATTTATACTTCATCTATACTTCATTTATACTTCATTTATACTTCATTTATACTTTATCTATAATTATACCTCATTTATACTTCAGTTATACTTCATACTCCTAAACCATAAGACGATAATTAATAAACCCATCAATGAAAAATGATGAGATAGAGTTTATTTACATTTCATTATACTTCATGTATACTTTATACACCTCAACCAGAAAAAAAGAACAAAAATCCATTAATAAAAAATGTTGAATTTTTTTAATTTAATGTATTTTTTAATTATCATTTTAAAATAAAGCGGCAGTGATCTCCCCTAAACTTTCTCGAATATTCTTAGATAACACTAATGGGGATGACAACTACAATGGAGTCGGGATATTAGACATTTAAAATAATAAATACATAAAAACGTTTATAATTACAAGCTCTTATAAATGCACTAAAAAGAAGAAAATAATACAATTTTTATTAAATATACAATAATTTTTAAAAATATAATAAATCTGCGGTTACTTTATATATAAAAAATTGCTTTCTTTAAATATATTAATGCACTACTATCTATATCACTATAAATAAAAGCGTGGGCCGCTTGTTTAAATACTTATTATTATAGTGAGTTAAATAAAAGCTTGTAAAAAACACAATTTTCAAAAACTTAATTTTTTTTAAAAAGACGTAGTGTTCCCGTCCCTTGGCGTTGCTGTGGGGTTAGAATAAAGCCTGACGAAATATTTCAAGAAGGTTTCATCAATGCTTTACCAATCCTATATTCATAGACGGGTGACCTTGCTTTCTAAAACTCAGTTATTTAAATGTAAACAGTACCTGCACTACATTTCTTGGATCATATGTGTCGGCGCACGGGTTAACTTGCTCAAGTTATCTTGTTCACAGACAGACTCACAAACACACACAGACATACAGACAAGATTGCAAAATTAAGTTTTTCCGACTAAGGGAAGTCTAAAATGTCGCGATTTGTAAAAATCTCGGGTTCAATATTTTGCACGATTACAAGACTTCCTATATACCTACTCCGTATACGAAACAGTAATAGTGTGTATGAGAAATTAGATATGTTGTTATTAAAGCAAAAAACAACTAAAACTGGTGTATGTCTCTGAGTCCACCCAGCACAAATAGATACCTGACTCACTTTTGAAAACGTAGTGGCATAGTGCTGACCACACTCTCTCTTCATAAGTTGAGGTCGAGAAACAGGTGAACTCTACTTCATCTAGCCTTGGTCATATGAACAACTAAACAAAGGGCATCAATTCTCATTGATGTGGTATTTAACATTGTAATTTGTTTTAGTAATCACATATCACATTTCACCAACTCACCACCAACCTACTAGGTTTACTCACCACTAATCTACTAGGTTTACTCACTACCAACCTACTAGGTTTACTCACTACCAACCTACTAGGTTTACTCACCACCAACCTACTAGGTTTACTCACCACCAACCTACTAGGTTTACTCTAAAGCTAAGTGAAAGCCGTATTAGCAAAAGAAGATAATTAATGGTTTTATTAGCTAATGAAGCTAATTAGTTCCTGTGTTAGTAAATAAAATGCTATTGAAAGACTCTGTTACTTACTGAAGGTAATTAGTAGATCTGTTGGCTGTTACGTTATGTCTTGTGTGTTACGGCTCCGTCCCTTGTATGATATAATATCACAGTTATGTCCCTTATATGACATATATCACAGTTATGTCTCTTATATGACATATATCACAGTTATGTCCATTATATGACATATATCACAGTTATGTCCCTTACATGATATATATCACAGTTATGTCCCTTATATGACATATATCACAGTTATGTCCCTTATATGGCATATATCACAGTTATGTCCCTTATATGACAAATATATCACAGTTATGTCCCTTATATGACATATATCACAGTTATGTCCCTTATATGACATATATCACAGTTATGTCCCTTATATGACATATATCACAGTTATGTCCCTTATATGACATATATCACAGTTATGTCCCTTATATGACATATATCACAGTTATGTCCCTTGTATGATATGTATCACAGTTATGTCCCTTATATGACATATATCACAGTTATGTTCTTTATATGACATATATCACAGTTATGTCCCTTGTATGACATATATCACAGTTATGTCCCTTATATGACATATATCACAGTTATGTTCTTTATATGACATATATCACAGTTGTGTCCCTTGTATGACATATATCACAGTTATGTCCCTTATATGACATATATCACAGTTATGTCCCTTATATGACATATATCACAGTTATGTCCCTTGAGTGTGTAGTGAAAGCGTCAGGCTATGACTGTAAACAACACAGTGCTTAGATGTGCTGTCTCAGGCTGTCTCAGGCTGTCTCAGGCTGTCTCAGGCTGTCCTCAGGCTGTCTCAGGCATGCTGTCCTCAGTGCTTAGATGTGCTGTCAGGTGCTGTCACGTGCTGTGTCAGGCTGTCACGTGCTGTGTCAGGCTGTCCTCAGTGCTGTCAGAGACTGTCCTCTAAACGGCTGTTGACGTGTTGAGTATTGATTAGTATTGAAACATAGTGACAGCTTGTTTTCTACATTACTGAGTGACAGCTGAGATGGCCCATTTGTTTTGTTGTGAATGACTTTATTTAAGTATGTTATGCAAGAACTATCCAAGATGGCGGCACAGAGATAATACACAAGACCGCCCACCACCTGCACTTACCTTGAACACAGGGAAGGGGGAGGGATGGAATCTGCTTTGGCAGAGGTGGGGGATCTACTATGGCACAGTACGTCTCATTTTTCGCATTTCTATGAGTTCCATCCTTACATTAAATCCACATATGTAGCATTTTTGTGCCCAAAAAAAAGAAAGAAAGAAGCGAAGACATCTTTGGTTTGATTTGGGAGTTCAATTCAGGCTTATAAATAGGCTGAGAGTGACACATTATTCAACATTTTACTCAGAATTTTTTCTTATTTTGAATTAATAACTTTTTGAGATATTTATAAATGTAATCACTGTTTTACAATTTTTACTTTTTCCTGTACAGAGTATCTACTCGATTAATTAATTTTTTTTTAATTTAAATTTTATAACAGAATAGAATCGCGTAACCAAATGAACGCAAACAGTGTGTATAATTCGTATTACTAGAGCGAAAAGTTTCTAAAAGAAACATTGATTTTTTTTAGACTCTACTACTTCTGGTCACATGATACCTCAAAATTTGATTGAGAACAGCGACTTTTCGGTATACTTGATTTTTTAGAAACCAGGAATAGAGTAAAGTACCGCTTTCGTATATCGGAAATCACGCAAAAAAATAAAAAGTTATCTATGCATAAGAACCTTTACTTATATACAAAAATTTCCTCTATATAAATTCCATATACGATAAAGTGGGCAGGTGTAGAACTTCGAAAACTGTCCACATTTCATGTAATTCTTTGGCACGCTTAAATATACTTCATTCAAACTATGTATACAAGAAAGTATAAAACCTATGTAATTTAAAAAAGCACTTCTACTACACGATAGCAGCGAAAGTGATATCTCGCTTACTGTTATAAACGTGAAAGTTGAGGGGTGACCACAACCTTATTTCAACATGCACAACCCAAGCTAATTTCTACATCAACACAATTTTATTCTCACAAGCCAGGCAAATATTAAATATGACATACCACACGTAATTTGCCCCACTCTCACTATGTACACTCCCAGCCCCCTGTCGGTGTCCCCACCCTCACTATGTTCACTCCAAGCCCCCTGCCTGTGTCCCCACCCTTACTATGTTCACTCCAAGCCCCCTGCCTGTGTCCCCACTCTCACTATGTTCACCCCCAGCCCCCTGTCGGTGTCCCCACCCTCACTATGTTCACTCCCATCCCCCTGCCTGTGTCCCCACCCTCACTATGTTCACTCCCAGCCCCCTGCCTGTGTCCCCACCCTCATTATGTTCACTCCCAACCCCCCTGCATGTGTCCCCCCCTCACTATGTTAACTCCCAGCCCCCTGCCTGTGTCCCCACCCTCACTATGTTCACTCCCAGCCCCCTGCCTGTGTCCCCACCCTCACTATGTTCACTCCCAGCCCCCTGCCTGTGTCCCCACCCTCACTATGTTCACTCCCAACCCCCCTGCATGTGTCCCCCCCTCACTATGTTAACTCCCAGCCCCCTGTCGGTGTCCCCACTCTCACTATGTTCACTCCCAGCCCCCTGCCTGTGTCCCCACCCTCACTATGTTCACTCCCAACCCCCCTGCATGTGTCCCCCCCTCACTATGTTAACTCCCAGCCCCCTGCCTGTGTCCCCACCCTCATTATGTTCACTCCCAACCCCCCTGCATGTGTCCCCCCCTCACTATGTTCACTCCCAGCCCCCTGCCTGTGTCCCCACCCTCACTATGTTCACCCCCAGCCCCCTGCCTGTGTCCCCACCCTCACTATGTTCACTCCCAACCCCCCTGCATGTGTCCCCCCCTCACTATGTTAACTCCCAGCCCCCTGCCTGTGTCCCCACCCTCACTATGTTCACCCCCAGCCCCCTGCCTGTGTCCCCACCCTCACTATGTTCACTCCCAACCCCCTGTCTGTGTCCCCACTCTCACTATGTTCACCCCCAGCCCCCTGCCTGTGTCCCCACCCTCACTATGTTCACTCCCAGCCCCCTGCCTGTGTCCCCACCCTCACTATGTTCACCCCCAGCCCCCTGCCTGTGTCCCCACCCTCACTATGTTCACTCCCAACCCCCCTGCATGTGTCCCCCCCTCACTATG